GATAGGGAACCCAAGGTTGAGTAAGGATAGTGTTGATGTGTTGTGAGGTTGTTAAGCATTGTCATAAGGCAACATGTGTACTGTTTAATGAGAAACTATTTTGTTCTGTAAACCTTCATCTAAAGTGAGAAAAGCAGCACAATTGGAAGAGTGTAGTCGATGTCACTGAACTGTGCATGTAGAAATTTTTGAAATGGTGTATCTTTGGCTATGTATATTTTCACAAAAAAAAAAAAAAGGTCGAGAAGGGAAAGGGTTGACATGTCGTGGGGTTGTTAACCAAGGTCATAAAACAATACGTGTACTGTTTCATGAGGAACTATTTGTTCTGTAAACCTTCACCTGAAGTACAATTTAAAAAAAAAAAAAAAGTAAAAAAAAGCCACATTTTTCTCAGAAATTAAAAGGCATGGCTGATACACAAATTACAAAGTATATATTCTAAATAGAACTGTGTCACATTGAGCATGACATGCAGATGCTTGAGAGATTAGCACAGTGAACTGCCAAACTATTATTTGCAACCAAAACAAAAGTAAGAATAGAACAGATTTATACAATATGCATGGCATTTCAGTGTTAAAAATTTTTCAAGGCAAGTTAAAAAAATCCCATAATATATTGACACTCTTAATCTGAATATGTACATACTCTACTCATTATAATTTCATTAACTTGCCAAATCAATTATTAGTTTTCAATATATCCATCAGTATTTTTTAAAAATGGTAGAATAAAAGGCAGGCAGTAAAACTACAAATAGACTAATAAGTAAAAATGCTGTGAAATATAGAAATTATAAAACTTGCTGTCTCAAAATACAAAGTTACAGAAAATCAAAGGTAAAAATACAATCACATACAATTTTTCTCATTTATTTGGCCTCTCCTCTAAGTTCCACAGCCATATATCAACTGCCTATTTGCCATCTCTACTTGAATATCTAACTTAAAACTTGTCAGCTACAAAATAAAACTCTTGATTTTTCTCCTCTAACCTGTACTTAAACCTAGGACTTCCCACCTAAGCAAATGGCACTACTATCCAATCAGTTGCTTAAGCCAAGTTCATTACTAGGACTGTCAAGTCTACTTTTAAAATATGTTATCTACTTCTTTCCATTTCCATGCTGCCACTTTAATCCAAAAGTCCTTGTCATCTCTTGCTGGGCTACTGGGAGTAGTAGCCTTCTAACCCCTAACATTCATTCTCCACACAGCTGTCAGTTTTTAAAAAAAGGAAATTCAATCATGCACATCCTGTGATTAAAACTCTTCAACAGCTTCTTTCTGGCTCTGAATAAAACCCAAGCTTATTACTGGAGTCTACGAGGCCCTGAGTAATCCGGGGCTTCTGCTGAACACTTCGCTCCTGCATCATACAATTCTCTCTGCTCACACTGGCCTATCACTAGTCCTTAAAACTGCCAAGCCCACCTGTACCTCCTGAACTTTGCAAATGTTATCCCCTCTCCCTAGAATGCTCTTTTCCCAGCTCTGCACATGGTTAGGCCATTCTCATCAATCAAACCTCAGCTCAAATCATTTCTTCTCAAGGTGCCTTTCCCTGGTAACCTAAAGGGCCTGCACCAATCACTCTGGCTAGTTTCTTCATAGCATTTAAGAACGAGTAACTGTTGCCAGACCCTCATTTTAATGTAAACGCCGTTAGGGCAGAAATCTTGTTTGTCTTGCTCACCTCTCTACAGCTGGCACACCCAAACCAAAACATGCTGCCGTCAAGTCAATTCTGACTCACAGTGATCCTAAATAGAACTGTCCCATAGAGTTTCCAAGGAGCGCCTGGTGGATTCGAACTGCTGACCTTTTGGTTAGCAGCCGTAGCTATTAACCACTGTGCCACCAGGGTTTCCACCTGGCACACAGACACTCCACATTTGTTGAATTAATAAATGAATACCTGTAAGTGGAGCATTTCATGTAAGTAAACTGCTTTAAGTAACTGAAGTATATCTTTAAGTATCAACATTAATTTTAACCATTTTGGATCACTATTTTTCCCAAAAATATAATTCTGAAAATAATTTAAACTTTTGCTAATGACTGAAGAATATCATCATGGACATCAATCTATTATTGATGTATTTAGAGGTAAACCATAAACAAACCTAACCCATTGCCACTGAGTCAAATTTGGACTCATAGCAACCCTCTGAAACAGAGTAGAACCGTCCCATAGGGTTTCCGCGGCTGTAATCTTTACGGAAGCAGACTGCTGCATCTTTCTCCTGTGGAGCAGCTGGTGGGTTAGTCCGTCAACATTTTGGTTAGCAGCCCAGTGCTTAACCACCTTAGAGTTAAAAAACAAAAAAAACAAACTCATTGCCATTGAGACTATTCCAACTCATAGTGACCTATAGGACACAGTAGAACTGCCTACAGGGTTTCCAAAGAGCAGTTGGTGGATTTGAACTGCCGACCTTTTGGTTAGCAACTGAGCTCTTAACCACTGCGCCACCAGGGCTCCACCACTTTAGAGTCAGGGGGCTGGAATTATGAGTTATGGACATCAAGCAGTCAATTACAATCTTAACTCCCAAATGAATAGTCTAATCAAATCAGTGTATGGCATTCCTCTGGCTACTGTTATTGGTCCAAGGGTGGGCAGACTGAAGGGAAAATTTCTAGTCCAGGCTTGGAGAAGACACTTCTCTTTTGTTTGCCCTCACTGGTTGTTAATAAAGACATATGCTGCTCAATTTGATGGTGGTAGCTGTTTTGCCAAGCCAAAGGATAAAGTTGACACTCCGAGGACTGCAGGAGAGAGAAGGAAGAAAGTCTTTGCTGACATCATGGAGCTGCTGTATCAAGGAATCCTGGAGCTCACCCTGAATGACTGTTTAAGCCACTTGTGGTTTTGTTTTCTTGCAGGAAAATGCATGCTGATATGGGACCCTTTACAAAAGAGTGTGGCTCTCTTGCTCCTCTCTTTTTTAAAGTTTCGGAATCTACTTTTTTACAGCATTTCTGTCTCCATGCAAGGCTGTCAGCTGTTCCTTCTTCCTGTTCTCTGAAAAGATGTTATAAAATAATACATGTAGCTCTGGACTAGGATATCACATCTAGACTCTCCTGTTTATTATCTGTGACTCTGAAAAAAATCATTTAAACTCCCTAGGCCTCGCAATTTTTTTTTTTTTTTAAATCAGTAGTATCTGGTGGAAAAATTGTATTATCACCACTACACTGCCATTTAATTGTTTATTAAGTAACTACTATAATACTTTAATAGCAGATAGCATTTTACAATACTGAGAAGTTGTAAGATTTTTGAGGGAGGGGTATGTTTTTAATTTTTATATCCCCAGAGCCTACCACACAATAGATGCAATAAACATTTGAATAAGGAATTAATGAAACAGTAAATGATATAACCCAGTACATAATCATCATCAGATTATCACCAAATTTCCCAGAACAATAGCCATGTATACAATAAGACTCTAATTTTTGTTACAGACTGTAATTTTCACATATAATTACTTTAAAAGTCCCCCAGAAGGGTTATTTTTCTTACAACAAACCTTATGTATGTATTGCCCAAGGTCACATTTTCAAACTGAAAACAGAACTGTCCACTGAAATCTCACCTGTTAAACTAGCAGGATATGAACTTGGCACCACTGAAAATGAGGAAGACGTTCCCCCAAAAGGTGTCACACCTGAGGAACCTCCAAATGGTGTCATGGAAAGGCTGCTAAAATTAACAGATGTCCCCTTGGCTGAAGATGATGGTGCCACTGAAGTATGTTCTGCTCCATAATGGCTGGCACTTGTACTGACAGACTCCGGAGTGTTTTCAGTTCTATATTTAATGGCTGGACTTTTGTTCTCTTTACTTTTAATGCAGCCCATTATCAAATCTACAAAGGCAATAAGGTAAATATTTTGAGAAAGCAGTTAACTTACAGGATACTTCAAAAGAGTCAATTCAAAAGTAAACAAGGCATTTTTCTCTGCAAAAAGTATCATTAATAATGCAAAACAAGAAAAACTAGAAGCCTAAAAATGAAGTCTCTTCCCTTATCTTTTTTTTTTTTAATGTGAAGTACTTCATTTACACTTTTTGAAAAACTAGCAGTGAACTGTCAATTTATGACTTGCAATTAAAGATGTTTTACAAACAATGTCATTTCCCAAATTAAAAGTCTCTCCTCTAGGCTAATAAAGCATAAAATTCTTCAAATTAGCTGATTTTCATGTGTCTTAAGTAAATGACCATCTTTGACCAGAAAATGTTTGCAAGAATATACAGAACAAAATCTACTCCACTGGGGAAGCAGAGTGTGCCTCTAAGGCAGCATCCAGTCCTCGATGAACCCGTAGCTCATGGATCTGTCCACTTTCTACAGTGTCAGATCCCATTACATCAACTTCAAATGTAAGGAGATAAAGGGCAGCCCTAAGAGTCGGGTACAGAGCTAGTTTATCAATTTTAGAGTCAGGTTTGATATAGCTGGATCCCTAAACAACCATGGTGTGATCAGCTACAGTAGGATATTAGAGAGGATTTACAAAGGAAGTACCAAGAAGCCCTTCCTTTAGCAGTACGCTAGATTCTCCGGAAGAATAGCTCTTTAATGATACTCAGTTGCTGACTGGCACACAGAGCAAAGTGCGGGAGATGAGCATCACTGTCTAGCTGGGTGGGATGGGGAACCAACATCGGCGAACAGAGATGTCAGACGGGTTTGTCCTGGACGGGGTTGGGAGTTAGGATCATAAATGTCCAACAGACTATGTAGAAACCTCTGGAAGCATATACCAGGTCTTGCAGCCAATAATCCAAAGAGCCATTTTTGAACCCTGAGGTTACAGACAGATGATATGCACCAACACAGTCATCAAGTTGAGAGTCTAGGAGGCAAAGACAGTGGCAACTCTACAAATACAGTTCAGGGCGGTTTGCTCCCAGGAACGCGCTCTGTCCAGAAGATGGTGCTGCATCTGAGTATATGTGTGTGGCACTATAACTGGTGACCCCGTACTGCATATTCTTGCATGCTGAGCTAACTAAAATGACTAGTCATATTATTTATTCTGATTTGTTACAACTAATGTAAATTCAATTTTTTTATTGTAGTAAAAAATATGTATAACATAAAATCTGCCATTTTAACCTTTTTTTAAGTGTATAATTCAGTGGCATTGATTATATTCATACTGTTGTGCAACCATCAGTACTATTTCTAAAACCTTTTCATTACTCTAAACAGAAACTCTGTACACATTAAGCAATAGCTTCCATCTCTTCTCCCCCTTACACGTTATCTTTATTCCAATTCTGCTAAAGCACACTCCAATCATGTCACTCTCCAGCTAAACCACCTTCAGTGGTTCAATGACAACATGCCACAGTGTGTTGGGGAAACTATGGGCTCTGAAGTCAGAGGGGCCCAAGTTTGAGTCCTGGCTTCCTACTTACTAGCAGAGTGATTTCAGGTATGTTGTTTATCCTCTCCGCGCCACAGTAACTTAAAAAATGGGGATAACACCACCTACCATTTCTGTTTTGTCTATTCTCACAAACATCTTCTGGCCAAGAATGTTCATTTACTTAAGATACATGAAATTAGCTAACAGAAAGAATTTCATGTTTTAATTAACCTAAAGGACAGAGTTTTAATTTGGGAAATGACATAGACTTACTATGAGGATTAACTTCATTACAAGTACTAGACAATATATGGCACATAGTAGGTACTAACAAATACTGATCATACTCCTATCTATATCAGCACTGTACAACAGAAATATAATCCAAGCCACAAATGCAAGCTACATATATAATTTTAAATTTTCTAGTAGCCATATTAAAAAAAAAAAAGTAAAAAGGAAACAGGTGAAATCAATTTTAATAATGTTTTATTTAACCCAATATATCTAAAATATAATCATTTCAACATGTAATATAAACACTGTTTATGAGATACGTTACATTCTTTTTTTTTTTTTTTTTTGGTACCAAGTCTTCGAAATCCAGTGTGGGTTTTACTTATAGCACATCTCAAACTGGACCAGCCACATTTCAAGTGCTCAGTAACTATATGTGGCTAGTGGCTACCATACAGGACAATGTAGCTCTACACTTTCTCTTCCCTAACAATAGACATGGGACAAGTGGTGGTTCAGTGGTAGAATTCTCGCCATCCACATGGGAGAACCAGGCTGGATTGCTGGCTTATGCACCTAACACACAGCCACCACCTGTCTGTCTGTGGAGGCTTGCATGTTGCTACAATGCTGAACAGGTTTCAGCATAGCTTCCAGACTAAGATGGACTAGGAACAAAGGCCTGGTGATCTACTGAAAAATGAGCCAATGAAAATCTTACGGTCCAATCCACAACCAATCACGGGATGGCGCAGAACCAGGCAGCATTTTGTTCCATTGTATATGGGGTTGCCATGAGTTGGGGCCAACTCGAGGGCAGCTAACATCATCAACAGACACACCTTCAATGTTTGCTAAACTAAGCACAAATCTCACCTTAGCTTTCAAGGCTTCTAAAATTTGGCCACAATCTATCTTTCCAAACTTATCTCCTATTTTCTCACACATACGGTCTCAAGGGAAAAAAAAAAAAAAAAAAAAACCTGTTCCTCAAATACATACGCTCTGAGCTTTCCTATTTTTGTATTTTTCTCCTCATCTAATTGCTTCTGTCCATAATACTCTCCCCACATCTCTACCTGCTAAAATCCTATCTATTCACTGGTGGTCATCACAAACATTACTTTTCCATTTAGGCTTTTCCTATCATTGGTTAAAACTTTTTTCCTTAAAGCCTCCAATGTACTTCTGGGGAGATTTTTGCATGAGATTCTCTGGTTATTCCATTTTGTATCTTGATTTTGCTTACTAGTTGTCTTCATTATCTAGTGCTCAAAGATGCACACTGATCCCAGCTCTGCTTTCTTGGTGGTAGGAGGTCCCTGCACTGAGAAGTTCCTAGACCAGGTGAGGACTGATGACAAGGACCTTCCCCCAGAGCTGAGAGGAAGGAAAGCCTTCCCTGGAGCTGCAACCCTGAATTCGGACTTTTAGCTTCATGAACTGTGAGACAATAAACCTCTTTGTTAAAGCCATCCACTTGTGGTATTTCTGTTATAGCAGCACTAGATGACTCAGACAAAATTTGGTACTGGAAGAGTGGGGTGCTGGTCTAACAGATACCTAAAATATGGAGTCAGTTTTGAAACTGAATGGTAGAGGCTGGAAGAGTTCTAAAGTGCCTAATAGTAAAAGCCTAGACTCTTGCCTTGAAGAGACTGTTGGTGTAATTATGGATATCAAAGATAATTCTGGTGAGGACTCAGAAGGAAGTGAGGAGAGCTGTTACACTGGAGATGGCACACACAGTGAGAAGCAGCAGCAGAGAACTGGCAACCGCAGACGACTGGCAGCAGCAGAGGACCGGTAGTAGCAGAGGACCGGCAGTAGCAGAACTAGAAGACTGGTGCCAGACAGCACTGGAACTGAACCACAGAGCAAGAGAGCTGAGTGCCTTCTGGCCAAAGTTTACTGGGGAGAAGGGTGCCTCCAGGCACTTATCAGTGGAGCTTAAGAGCTCTGGAATACTTGCCCAAGCAGGGCAAATGTGGGCAGTGAAGCCCGAGGGGCCAAGAGGCCAAGGAAAGAGGAAGCAGAAGCTGAAGAGACAAGGAACACAAGAAGCAAAGCTTCTCCAGTCTCAAAGGGTAGGGCCATGACCCCAGGGGTCTCAAAGGGTGGAGTCATGGCCTCTGGGCTTCAAAGAGTGGGGTCACAGCCTTTTAGGTTCCAAAAAGTCAGATATTCACCAACTCAGTTCTGGAGTGTGGGGCTGTCGTTTAAGAGTGCCAGTGGGATGGGGATGGATCTGCTGCCCAAAGCTGAGGGAGTGGGGCTGCCATGCGCAAGGAGGAGAAGAACAGACCTGCCAGGGCTGACGGGGTAGGGCCGACACTCAAATGGACTAGGAGAATGGGGTTGCCCAAAGCCAAGGGAGCAGAGTTGCCATTCCAGTGGGCCTGGAAGGTGGAGCTGAAGTTCAAGGCCGAGGGGCCTCCACTCAGAATATAGAGAGTATGGCCAACACCCAGAGTCTGGAGGGCAGGACCACTGCCTAAATGGTCTCAGAAAACAGAGGGCTATTTTCAAGCCTTGAGGGCTAATGTAACATGTTCTGTTGATTTGCTTGGTGCCTGTTATCCCTTCTTTCCCTCCAATTTTTCCCATTTGTAATGGAAATGTCTAGCGTGTGCCTGTTCCACCATTGTACTTTGGAAGCAGATAACTTGTATTCTAGATTTCACAGATGAAGAGGAATGTTTGGATTTTGGACTTGGAGTTGAATTAAGACTTTTGCTATGATATGATGGGGTGAATGTTTTACATGTGGCAAGAACATGAATTTTGGGGGGCCAGAGGGTGGAATGTTATGGATTGAATTGTGTCCCCCAAAAATGTGTGTCAACTTGGCTAGGCCATGACTCCCAGTATTGTGTGACTGTCCACCATTTTGTCATCTGATGTGATTTTCCTATGTGTTGTAAATCCTATCTCTATGATGTTAATGAGGCAGGATTAGAGGTACTTACGCTAATGCAAGATTAGATTGTATCCTGAGTCAATCTCTTTTGAGATATAAAAGAGAATCAAGCACAGAGACAGGGGAATCTCATACCTCCCAGCAAGTAGTGCCACGAGCAGACTGTGTCCTCTGGACTCGGGGTCCCTCCGCTGAGAAGCTCCTAAACCAGAGGAAGATTAATGACAGGGACCTTCTTCCAGAGCTGAGAGAGAAAGCCTTCCCCTGGAGCTGATGCCCTGAATTTGGACTTCTAGCCTACTAGACTATGACAGAATAAACT